GAATTATTAATTCGTATAAACATATTATTTCTTTCATTAACTATATTGTTTATATTCATTTCTTTTTATATTAACATTCTTCATTGATTTATTTGTTAATTTCTTATCATTTCACTTTCATTCTTTTTTATTATTTGATTAATCATTTCATTCTATTTCAATTTATTACGACATTTCATTCTATTTATTATTTTATTATTTTATTAATGTAGTTTATTTACTCTTATTTTGTATATTTCGATATACTTCTTTCATTTTTATTATTTCTTTTACAACTCGATTTATACAAAATATTCATTTTCAATTCATATTTCATTTATTGGTATAATTATTCAAATGTATATTTATTTCTTATTGAAATTATTCAAACTCTTATTTCTTCATTATTATTGTTTATTCCTTTAATTAATATTTTAGAATTTATATTTGATTCTTGAATATTATTTATATTGTGTAATTCAATTTTATCTAATTTGGTGTTTGTCAACGAATCACAGATGCAGAATATCTGATTATCTAACTCATTTCATTAATATTTATATTTATTTAATTTAAATCACTTTAATTCATTTTATTATTGTTGTATATTTTATCTTTCATATCCTTATCTTTTTTATTATTCATTTTCACTTCTTCATTCTTCTCATTTTGAAGAAACATTAATATTTTTGATTTGGAATCATCAAAAATTGTAATTTCATTCATATTATCATTTATTTTTATATTTCTTTTCATGATTATTAAACATTCTTGATATTTACTTCAATATCTATTCATTTAATTAATTCAATTATAGTCTGATGTGCTACTTCAATTACTTTCTTTCAATTACACATAATTTTTAAATCATCATTGTATAAAGTATCATTTATTTCCGTGAATTAATACCATTATCATTTAATCATCTGATATGTTATTTTATTAAATGATAATATAGAGAATCATCTTGTAATATCCATAATTTTATTTTTACATACTCTAATTCATTATTGAAAATATATCAAATATTAATACATAATCTAATACAAATACATTCAATTAAATGATATGTGTCATTATTAATATTAAAATACTCAAATGAATATTATCCATTGTTGATTCACATATTCATATATCTTCTTTATACTAGAATATCTCATTGGGTCTTTTCTTTTATGTTTTTTTTTTCATTCTTACATGATTCTTAATGATGCATTCTTTTGCAGATAACAACCATTCTTTCAATTATATTTAATTCTTATCTTTTTGATATTCAACATTATTTATTTCTAATTATTGTGTGATTTTAATTTAATTGTATAAGTAAATGTCATCATTGTCACATTCAGACAACTTATTTTTCTATAACATTATTTTGTTTATAAGCACAATTATTATAAACTAATGTTGTATTTCAAACTTTAATCTGCATTGAGATACTTTAATTATAATCTGTAAATTATTATTGTATATATAAGAATTTTCTTTATACACAGTTTTGTGTTTCAAATAACAATATTGTATTTTATCAACACCATGAGCTTTTCATACAATGTTTCTTTTCATTGAATAATTTATTTCTTCTGTTGTTATAATTATTCTTCATAAAGTTGTTATACTAAGATTAAATTTTGATATAATTATATAATGATATATGAATTTAAAAACAAATTCCTTATTAAATAAGTATTTTTATAATGAATCCTCATATCTCTTCACATCATAAAATGAATGTTTACAAAGGTGAGTCTTTTCATTAAATTCAATTTGGTATTATTTGTTTGTAACATCAAGAAAGTTTTTTAAAGATAATAAAAGTGTTTGAAAATTAACAATTAAAACAATTAATAAAAATAAAAAAAGATAACACTATTTAGAAATTGAACCTAATTCTTCTCATTGAGAAAGTAAATTCTAATGTTAGAACAATAGCATTTTATATTTGTCTTTATAAATTTACGTTATAACTACACCCATAATGTATATTTTCATTCAATTATTTTATTATAACAATATTATCAATCATAAAAGCATTTATTTCTTTTATTTCAAAAGATAATTAAATTTCCTTTAATATTCAATTTCTTCCAATTATTATTCTTTACCAATTTAAATCAGTTGGAGATATTTAATTTCAAATATAACTTCAAAGACAATTAATAAAAAAGAAAAACAAAAATATTATATGCTATGAGCTTTTTAACTTTTTATTACAACAGCTTCTATTTAATTCTTTAGCCATCATAAATTCATTATTTATTGGTACAAAATGACTTAATTATATTTATTCTTAAAATAATACTAAACTGATATTATTATATTTTGTTAATTCATTCAATTTTTATTCCTTTTCTATTTCAATAAATCTTTGAACTAATTTATTACTTTTTAAAATAAAAATAAAAAATGAAATTTTTTAAATTTTGATTATATCTAAAAATAAAACAAAGATGACGTAATAAAAAATTGACCAATCAAAAAACCGATCATAAATTAAAAATTTTCTCTAATATTTAGTTTTCTGTTTTATAATTTATTATGACTATAATATCTAATACAAATACATAGAAAAGGGACGTTATGAGAAAAATAGGACATATTAAAGAAAATGAAATAATCACTTCTCAATATAAAGAAAATCCAATTGTGAATATATCGAGTAATTGACTTTTTTTATTATTATAATAATAATATATTTCTTTTTTTCGATGGAACTGAAAAATTTAAATAGATGGAACTTAAAAATAAGACAAAGGATGACAACAAATCTTGAAACAAATCAAGTTGAATATTTTGTTCAAAATCCAGCTTCAGAAGCTATTGTTATGAAGAGTTACAACAAATTATCAGAGTGTGGGTGGAGACAATACATGATTGGAAAAATAGGAGGTTTTACATTTTGTTATTTATTCATAATTAAATTTTTGTATTTATCAAATAGAAGATCTTAGGACACTCACTGAAAGTGGAGTTCATCCAGAACGTTTGACAGAACAAAAGTTAAATGAAATAGTTCAGAAACACTTAGATGATTTTCCACCAGAAATAATGAATGAACTGATGAGTGATATTATTAGTTTTTATGAAAAAGCTTAATTTGTCTAACCTCAAATACTGTCACTTAAATTCATCTTTTTGACAATGTCTTTTTGTTTCAAATGATTAATGAGATTCTTCTCAAATTGATTTACTTTCAAAGAATGAATCGTCTTATTGGGGAATTCTACCCTTTTCCATAACATAACGAGCTATTCCTTTCATTACTGTAACAAGATCATCTGATTCATAAGTATGTTGAGTTACTTCAGCAAAAGCTAAATATCGTAATGCAATAGCCAACAGAATTTTGAACAAATAGAGTATTAAAAGTAATGAAATAATAAAGAGAAGATTAAAATGAGATGGTGGTATTGTTTCTAGTCCAAAACAAATAAACAAAACACTAAGAGGAACAGCAGGCATTCCAAGCCTTCTAGCAGAAGTTGAAGTACTATCAAGAGAAGGAATTTTGAATAGTCCCTAATTTAATAAAAGAATGAAACAAATAAAAATAAGAATAAAATAAACAAACGTCTTGTGTTGAGATTAAATCATTCAAAAGAACAAATTTACCTTTATCATAAATAGACAAAGGAATATTGTTAAATTTACCAATAAACATATGTTTAAGTGAATCAATAATAACTTCAGCAAGTAAAATAAGGAATAAAGAATAAATCATTGATATTAATAAATCAGGATTACTTTCTATGTCCCATTCATAATACCCAAAATTACTTAAAGATAAAAGAATGACAAAAGAAAAAAGTTCAAATAACTCGAGTATATCAGCACATAATACTTGAAACACATTTTCAGGGAACATTCTTTTCCAAACTGAAGACTTAAGTTCAAGAATATTATTTGATACAAGAAGTGCCAATAAAGCATGTCCTTTTGAATTAATTGCAACGTTTAATGCCATTATATAAAAGAATAGATTAAAAGAATGTAATAAAGTAATAAAAACAGTTAAAATAAAAAAGAGTATTGAATCATACAACTTTTTATTTTTAATAGATATTAATAATGAACTATGAATATCAAAAGTAAAAGCAGATAATAAACTATTTAACATCTACATTTGAATTATAATGAATAAATCTTGAAAAAGAATATAAAAACAAACACCTAATGCATTATAAAGAGCATATAATTTTAATACAGATTCTGCACGTATATAATGATAAACAAAACCAATATCAACTTGATATATTATAATAACACAAAATAAAGTTGATAGATACATTAATATATCATAAATTCTTTTATAATGAATTACCACTTTTTCATTTACAAAAATTAATTGATAGAAATAAGAAATGATTCTTAATGGAGTGAATAATAAAAATGAACTAAAAGTATCCCATGATATTAATAATCCAATCAACACACTCTAACAATTTGTTTAGACTTTTTTTTTATAGTACAAAGAAATATAACAAAAATAAAATATAACAAACACGTTCTAAATAGAATGGTGTTTGAATAAAACTTTTTACTGATTGTGGAATAGTATTTTCATTTACTATTTGTTGTGTTAAATTAACTGATTGTTGAATTGGTGAAGAACCTTTTTTAGAAATTGGATAATGAATTTCTTTTTCATAACCAAAGATGTCATTCTTTAAAAGAGTTTGTATTTTCTTTTTAATTTGTATACGATGAAAAGGAGGTGTTTGTATGTTTTGATTTCGACTCATTAATGAATTACTAAGATATCAATGTTTTTGTTACAAAAAAGAACAAAAACTCAATAAAAAATGAAACATGAAAGAATAGCAAACCCTGAAAAAAGAGAATTGCTTTTTTATAGTTCAATACAGGCAAAGAAAGAAAAATGGAACACCATACTCGTGTCAAATTATATATGTGGGACTTTTGTCAGTGTGATCCTAAAAGATGTTCTGGTAGAAAGTTAGTTCGACAAAAGTTAGTTAAAACATTACCTATTAATGCTTCATTTCATGGTATTTGTTTAACTCCTGATTCATCTGCTTCTTTATTAACACCTGCTGATGCTGAAATTATTGCTAGAAATGGTGTTGCTGTTATTGATTGTAGTTGGAATGAATATTCTGCTGGAAGAGGGGTAAATGAAGTTAAACGATTAAAATATAGAAATGGTAGGTTTTTACCTTTTTTAATGGCTGGAAATCCAGTTAATTTTGGAAGACCATTCAAATTAAATTGTGCTGAAGCTCTTGCAGGTGCATTAGCAATTTGTGGATTTATGAAAGATGCACAATCCATTATGGAAGTCTTTGGATGGGGAGAGACTTTCTTAGATATTAATAAGAAAGTTATTAAAGAATATACACAATGTAAGACTTTAGAAGATGTTCTTAATGTTCAAAAAGCATATACTGAAACTGATGAAAATATAAAAGAGAAAAGGGAACAAGAACGAGCTAAAATGTTTGATATTCCAGACAGTGATGAAGAAGGTGAAGAAGGATATTTTAATCCAAATAGAATGCCAATTGAAGAAGAAGAAAGTAGTGAAGAAGAAGAAGAAGATTAAAATAAATTAACATTAACTTTGTTTTATTGATTTTCAATTTCTTTTATTTCTTTTTTATTTCATAAAGAATATTTTTATTTTTAAGAAAAGAATAAAAAAATCTTAATTTATCTATGATTAATATCCTGAAAAGGTATGAATTATTTGGATGAAGCTGGTAAATAAAAACCTTCAGCTGCTTTCCATTTTGTATTTTCGGTTTTAGTAGCAATAGCAGTAATTTCAAGTTGTCCAGATACAGGACCTCCATACTACTTAATTAAATCTTTTTGATTTTTAATTCTAATAAATAATTACTTACAAACTTTAGCATAAGGGTTACAATTTAAATACATATTAGTATCACTATGTTTTAAACGTACATATCCATTCAAATCCCAATATTGTCCTTTTTCAGACTCAACAATCCAAACATCACCATGATCTCCAATACCATTATTTCCAAAACAACTTACTTCCTGTTGACCAGTAATTTCAGATAATTTTTTGTGACTGTGTAAATTCTTTTTTGTTGAGACATGTGTCAAAATTATTTGGTCACCATTTTTAATGACTTCTCTGCACTATTAGTTTCTAAGTTATCTAAATGAAAAGGTAGATTCTTGCGGTTTATAAAAAGACAAACCCTGATTTACATTTTTTATTAGCACACCTAATTGTCCACAACGAACCAACATCATCAAGGTCTTGAAGACCAGTAACAGCTTGTTGACCTGAACCCATTCCATAAGTAACTAGAAGTGAATGTAACCTAATTCCTGTCATCATGTGACGAAGTTTAAAAGTACTTCCATATGTCAAGTATGTATGATCTTGTTCAATAACAATTTCACAATCATCACCATCACAGTCTTGTGCCAAAACATAACTTATGAAGAGCAGGACAATAAATTTCATTTTAATGTTTTTATAGTTTTTCTATCTTTTAAATAACATATTCTAAAATTAATGTTTTTTGTTTTAAAATGATAGTAAAAGTAGAACTTATATTCTTTTCCTTTTTATTAAAAAATATTATAACTTAGAGTTTCTTCTATTTTTTCTTGTAATATTTATAATGTATTAAAAAGAATAAACTCTAGATATTATATTGAATAATTAAAGCTTAGAACATTATCTTTCTATGATAATTTAAAGAAATTCATTTGTTTTAAAATCAAATAACTTCCTTTATTATTTTAAATATTATTTTGGAGTTTTGATTATAGTTTATGTAATAACAAAAGAATGTTTATATTATTCAAGAAGAAATAAATCAAAATTTCTTAACTTAAAAAAAAGAAATTAAAGAATCAACATTTTCATTAATATTTATATAATAAAGAAATAATAATCATTTTTAATGGAATTGAAATAAAACAAAGAAAAATAATAAAAGAAAGAAACAAACAAAAAGTTTAAAAGATTATAATTAAAAAAATACATTATAATAATGTTTACTATAAAATAAATAATTTAAAAAAAAATAATAATATAAAATACCAATAATAATAGTTTAATTATACCAAAAGGATAATTTAACTAGAATTGAAATAATAAAAAAAAGTTAGATAGGTTTAGAATGACAGTCAGATTCATCGCAAGAATTTAATGATAAATTTTGAGTTGAATTTGAAATACTAGATTTGTCAGGAGGGATTGAGTCATTAATAAGTGATTCATGAAGAGATTTTGTTACTTCATCAATAGAAAGATGAATAATTTTATTTTTACCACTAAACAATTTAATATTTTCATAAAATAAAACACCTTCATTAATAATTTCTTTTTTATTCCATTCTTTTTTTAAGTGAATAGATTCAATGACTCTACGTTCTGGCATATAATCTTTTTCTGGTTTCTTTTTTACTTCTTCTTTAAATTGAAATCCAAAGAAATTTTTAATAATATCAAGTAATCCATTATCAATATTTGTTGATGTAATAATTCTCTTTGCCCTTTTTAAATTAGTTCCTACTGGAAAATCAATTTTTTCAATATTATCTTCAACTTCTTTACGAGATAATAAAATTTTATCTTCAAATCCAACTTCAACAATTTTTAATTTTTGATGTTTTCCATCTTTTTGTAATTTACTTAATGTAATATAACACCCTAAATAATATAATATCATTAATAAAAAACCTTCATTTCCATAATCATTTCTATTTGCATTTACTCTATTATTTCTTTTTCTTTCTTTTGATTTAAATTCTCCAAGAATTTCTTCTTCTTTTTCTATTTTTTTTATTATTTTTTTACTTTTTTTCTCTTCATTTTTCCTTTTTGGTTTAATTATATGAACCATTTCTTCTTCTCCAATCCTTTCTAATTCTTCAATAAAATTGGTCGCATCTTCTTCAATTTCATCTTCAGTTTTATCTTCTAAATCCATTTCTATATTACTTCCAAGTTGTTTAAATAATTTACTGTCTAGTAATCCTGCCATATTATCCAATTTTTTAATTTTTTTTAGTTCCTTTTTTATAGTTTATGAGTGTAGATATAGTTTCATTCTCCCGATTTGATCCAATTCTGTTCTTCTATTTTTTCTTTTTTTCTTTTTTTCTTTTTTATTTTTCATCCAAAGAAAAACTTCTGATGATTTTGAACTATTATCAGGCTATTTTCAACCACTTTTTTTCACTTTTATGTTATAAAACTCATCATTTTAGTATTTTTATCAGATGAAACTGACACATCTTTGCTTTATTTATTTATATTATTTTCAAATTATTGTTACTGAGAGATAGATTTAAAACTCTAAAAAACTCTTTTCAAAAGTATAAATTTATCAATAATACAATAATATTGTTTATAGCTTTGATTAAAATGGTTTATATTTTTAGGAAATCTTAATCGTAGGAATATTTGTAACTTATATTTTTAGTTCAAGACATGTGTTATATTTTGAATGGCATTGTTGTTTTTGAAATGATATAAATAAATACGTCTTTTCAAATTAATAAATAATGATGTCTACAAATAAATAAGATAACAAAACCTTATTTTAATGATGTGAAAATTCTTTTAGTGATTGGTATGTATTTATTGATAAAACAATAACATTTAGTAAAAAACTATTACTTGTGGATTTTTTATAGTAAAAATCTCAATACAATTGTATTTTTAATTTTCTATTAAAGAATTTATTATTTCTCACAAGTAATTAAGAAAATAAAAAATGTGCTTTTTGTTATAATAAAAAACCATTTGAAATATAAACTAAAATATAATTGTATTATTTAGTTTTAGTTCATACATTTTTATAAATATAAAATTAAACAATATATTTATTTGTATGAATTATTTATATAATTTAACAAAATAGTCATGTACATAGTTTTAAAAGGTTTATAAGGAATAATAGTTAATTAAAACACTAGAAATATATCCTTCAAATTTAATTTTGAACAAAAAAAACTTTATTTTTAATATATTTTTTTTTATAAATTTTTAAATTACATAATATAAAATGTTATCAATTTAAAATGTCTCATATAACATATAAAATATTTAAATATTTAACAGCAGTAATCATTATTGTATTATTAAAGAGAAATAAAATTTCTCAATAAAGAATTACATTCGTTAAATTATAATTTCAATAATTGTTTTATTGAAAAAAGAGAAAGTTCTTTTGAGAAATTAAACTAAAAAACTACTTTTTAAATGCCAAGTTTCAAATTAAGTGAAATAATTGAATTAACTATAAGTGAAAATATTGTTCCACCATTACCATTTAAAATGAAAGCTATTTCTGATTTTATGGAAATAAGTCCATATGCACCAAGTGCACTTGCTGAACAATGTTTAATATGGATGAAAAAATATAAGAATAAAGAAGCTGATCAAATGCAAATGTTTAATGTGTTATGTTTAATGGATTATGTGTGTAAAAGGAATGTATCTTTTAGATATCATCTAAAAGACTTTAGTATTATTCATTATTTTGAATTTCTAGCAAAAGTCAAGGTTTGTTTTTAATTAGTTGTTTTTTCTCTTAATAAATAAAAAACAAAAAAGAAGAAGGAAGTGTATTTGTCTTATATATTAGAAAATGGATAAAAATTACTCAAATTCAGTTGTTAATAAAGCAAGATCATTAATAAAAAAATGGGGAGAAAAATATAATGAACTTATTGAAATGAAAGCAATTTATATAAAATATACAGAAAATGTAAAAATGAATGAAGGAAGTATTAATAACATTACAAATGTTCCAAAAGAACTTATTGAATTAAAACCTCAAATAGAAAAAAGTATTTTAGAATGTGAAAAAGTAAATGGAATAAATACCAATTTATTATCTTTACTTGAAGAAATAAGAAGTCTTTTATTGTTTGTTATATTTTTTATTTTGGACTTCTTTAAGAATCAAAAAAGAAGAAGAATTGAACATTAATAAAATAAAGACAATTTAAACGAGGATTACTATTATTAAATGGAAAATATTTAGAAGATCGTCATGAATATAAGAAATGTATTGCATTATTGAATAAACTTCAAACTTGTTATGAGAATCAATTAAAGAAAATTCAAGACGAAAATGAGAAAACTCAATTAAAAAGAAAAGAAGTTCCAAAATTGAAAGGACTTGTTCTTATTCCAACATTTGTAGAAGAAAAAGAAAAACAAAGAAAAAAAAGAGAAATAAATCATCCATTAATTTATCAACCTCTAAGTGGAAATACAACTCCTCGTTCAAAAAAAGAAGTTTCATTATTACCTTTGAATCAAAATGAATTTCATACCAGAAAAAGAGCATCAACAATATCTGATATTTCAACAAAAAGTAAAATAAAACCAAATGAACCATTAGAAGATTTTGTTCTTTCAGAAAGTCATATCAATTTAAATTCTTTTAAAAGTAAATGTTCTGAATTATTAAGTATAGAGAAAAGTCCATGAATATAAAAAAGAAAAGAAATAATATACTTAATGATATTAATATTCATTAATTTATTTTTATTGAATAATCTTTTTCAAACAAAACAAATTATATTTAACTTACAGATTTTTTAAATAAAAAAAAAATCAAAATAGTTTAAAGAATGAGGTTTCAATATCTTTTCTATTAAACAAAAAAGAATAAATAAATCAACAATGTATAATAAAAACAAATTATAAATTCAAAAATAGAATATTTGAAATTATTTATAACAAACATTCAATTAAATAAAGAAGAGATTGTTTTGATTGAACGAATTTTTGTAAAAAAATATCATAAATGAGATAAAAGAATAGAACTAGAATAACAAATTTTTTCATAAAAATACTTTTGTCGTTCAAGAATATCACGAGTGTTAATGATAAAGTCATAACTCCTTCGATCATTCTTTTTAAATGGAATTTCATGATAAAGTAAATTTAATAATTGTATATTAGTTTCAATTTGTTTTGATAAAATATCTATTATATTAAATAAATCTTCTTTGATTTTATCTTTTTCAAATAAAATTTCTTTTGTAGGTATTAATTTTTCATCACATAATCTATAATATCCACGATAATGAAAAACATCTTTTCCTGATTCTATTGATGAACAATGATTTAATGCATCAAGAATACATTTTTTCCAATTTGGTTTTTGAACTAAACAAATAAATATTTAACATTTTACTAAAAAGAGAGAATATGATTTTGTAATATCTAAAAAGAAGTAAAAGAAAAGAATAAAATATCAAAAGAAAAGAATAATGATAAGAAAGAAATAATATTTTTTTAGATTCTAAGTTTTGAATTAAAAAGTCTCAAAAAATAAAATGAATTTAAACTTCTTAAAACAATTAATACCAAACATAATTTGATTTTTTTTAAAATACTCCAATGATTTTTAATAAACAAATAAATGTCTTTTTTTAAAGAGAAATAATCAGTCATTGGATGTAGTTTTTTTAATGAACGTAATATTAATATACATAACTTCGTTGTTTTTATTTTATTTTCTTTTATTAATGTATCTTCTTGTTCGCAAATACAACATAAACATCTAGGACTTATTTCTTCACTATCTCTTCCAGGTTCAGGTGTTTGCATAGAAAATACTTCTTTTAAATCTTTTCAAGTTTTATTTTTAACTTCTTCTTTGATACTTCTTATCAAATCCTTTTTATTTTTGTTTTTTTTTTCTCGTTTTCGATGTTTATTTTTTTGTCGTTTCCTTCACTGATGAAACCAATTTAAAAATGAAGAAATTTACTAATTCATTTTTTTCTTTAATTTTACTGTTAAAAATCTCCTTATGAATTTCTTTTAAACAGTTGAATAAAAGAATGTTATATAAAACGTTAATTTATTTTTTTTATTGAAGATGGAATTTATTTTAAAAGAAATTACATATTTTTGTTGACTGAAAATTAGATATATTTTTACGTTGAAACTACTTTTTCTTGTGAATAAGATCTCATTTTTGATAGTTATAAAGAATTTATTTAAATGAAGTCTACTAAAGTTATTGACCATGTTATTCATTTCAAAAGAGCAAATAGTTTTGTTTTTATTGATTATCTTTAAGTAAATGAAATTAAAAAATGAGGAGTTCTAAAGAAATTCTCTCAAATGTAAATAATGATATAAGAGTAATTACTAATAAAAATAGTTGAAAGACCAAAGAATATAGTTGATTTTAAAGCACCAAGAGTAGATAATCAAGATACTATTATTTTTGAATTTTGTTATCCTGAAACTATAGTTGGAAAACAAAAAGAACGACTTGAAAATTTTTCATTTGTTTTAACTGGAATAGATGGAATGAGAAAGTATTGTTATTGTAGAAGAAAAATTCATATTGATGACTCAGAATGTATTTGTATAGTATCACAAAAGTTTGTAGTTATATTATTTCTCTTGTTTATTCATTAATAAAATATTATTTTCCTTTCTAATTATTTCATATTCTTATTATTTTAGTGCATCTTTTGCTTTTTATGAACAAGTTTTAAATTTATTTGAAAAATATTTACCAAAAGTGGATGCTGTAGAACAACTTGCATCTGCTTTATTGGATCAACCATTTCCTTTTCCAGGAGAACAAATTCATAATAGTGATCCAGCAAAACGATTAATTAATTATTCTATAGTTAGACCAATTAATGATACTTTTACAAATACTAAATTAGTTTCTACAGCAACATTAATTAATAAATTTGGAGCATCTGAAGTTATTGATATTTTAAGTCATATGATGTTAGAAAGAAAATTTTTATTTGTATCAGATTATTTAATGACTCTTTCTAATACAATTTCATCTTTTATTACATTAATGTCACCATTTGTATGGCAACATGTTTTAATTCCATTATTACCTAAAAGTCTTGTAACATATTGTGCAGCACCAATGCCATTTGTAATTGGATGTTTAAGAACATTATATCCAGAAATTCAAAATGAATGTGGAGATATTTCTGATGTTTTTGTTATTGATATTGATAATGGAAATTATATAAATAAACCAGACTTTCCAATGCTTCTTGTCTCTGACACAAGTATTGGACTTCGTAATATTTTATCAAACATTGTAAGTAAAGAACCAAAACCAGAAGATGATACAGTTGTACGAGCACAGGTTCTTAAATTTTTTCAAAGATTATTTTTAAATTATCAAAAATGTTTTAAAGAAGTTAAACCAACTGAAGAAGATAAAAACAATCCTCGATTTAAACCAATTCAATTTAAATGGTCAAAATTTATTAAAAAATTAGATCCTGATAATGAAGCTTTTATTACTGAATTTCAACAATCTCAAATGCTTGATATGTTTATTGAAGAACGTGAAAATATGTTAATTAATAATCAAAGTTTACTTACTAAATGTCCTTTACTTGTTAATAGTATTACTGCTATTCCTGAAGCAACAACTTGTCATTGGAAAGTATTAACAGATTATTTTCCTACTCCAACGTCAGAACAAAAAATTTGTTTCTTTTGTAAACAAAATATTTTAACAAATATGCCATGTTCTTTATGGGAAGGGAAGCCAATACATTCTAAATGTTATAGATGTCAGTCTTGTTTTAAAGTAATTGTTGGAGATAGAGAAAGTATTGACCATCGTTGTATTTATTGTGTAAGTAAAAATCTTCCAATTCAAGTACATACAGAAAAAGACTATTTAAATCATTTTAATAATAAATCAGTTAAAACAGCTTTTGCTATGAAAAGATGGAAAAGAGAAATTAAACAAACGGTTGGTATTGTTAATTATATTAAAAAATCAGATGACTTTAGTTCTTCTGAAAACTTAGATGAAATAGAAATATCAGAACCTACTGATTTTCATTCTGTTAAAGTAGATATTAAATTTGACATTTCAAAACCTGCACCTCCACTTCCTTCTAAAAAAGAATCTACTCAATTTCGTACTACATCTTCTTCAGATAATGGAATGATTTCTCAAAAATCTCTTTCACATTCTACTCCAAACAGTTCAAAACCAGCATTACCTCCTAAACCACTTTCTATGAGTAATGAAAAAAGTAAACCAAATAAAGAACGTCCTACTCTTCCAAAAAAATCAATCAAACAAGTAGCAACAGAACCAATTGGGCTTCCTTTTAATTCTTCACATCCAAAAGAAGATAAGAAAAAACCAGAATTACCTAAAAAAACAACAATACCAAATGGAAATTCATCAAGTAAAATTAATACTTTTCAACCTTCAACTGTAAATTCTTCATCACCAAAGAAGAGTCCTAATGAAAAAACAACAAAAAGTCGACAAAATGGTGGAGATGTTGCTCGGTTAGCAGGAATGTATGAAAATATGAATTGAAATTATTTCAAAACAATTAATAAATTAAATTATTAATGTTTTATTAATAAAGTATTAAATAAAAAATTTAAGCATAATGTGGAATACCATTTAATGATGGAACTGAGTTGCATTCAATTGACTTAGGAATTTTAATAATTTTTGTTGATTGTAATGGTAAAGTATAAATAACATGATTTCTTTCTTCAAATCCATTAAAGTTAGTTGCCATAGAAATTGTATAAGCACCCATATTAGGAAATAATAACCAATCTTTCCCTGGCTCCATTTCTGGTAGTTCTTGAGTTGCTACTTTATCACTTCCATTACAAGAAGGTCCATAAATAATACTTTCATACATTTTAGTATTTTCATTGACTTTTTGTGTAATACATTCACAACTTTTTTGTTTTTCAAACCAAATACAACATCCAAAACTTCCATGTAAACCATCACCTGAAGTATATTCAATTTGTTTCTTTCCATTGTGTATTCTTACTCTTTTACCATGTAAAGAACTAACAAGATGAAATGCATTAGATGCCATATATCTTCCAGGTTCTGCAATAAATCTTGTTCTTTCTGGAAATTCTAATTCTTTTATTGTTTTTTCAATTGTTGCTGCAAACTCTTCAAATGGAGCAATTTGACTAAATCCTCCTCCAATATCAATTAAATATGGTTTCATTCCAAATTGTTCTGCTAATGTAACAACGTTTCGTGCTTTAGTTAATGCTTTAGTAAAAACTTCACTATTATGAGAATCACTTCCAACATGAAAATGGACTCCATCTAAATTTAGTCCTTTGTCTTTAATTTCTTTTAGAACTATTTCAACTTCATCATCATGAAGTCCAAATTTCTCTCCAAATACATGACCTGCTGATGTATCATTTTCCATAATTCTTATCATTATACCCATTTTTGGTGCATATTTTGCAATTTTTTGAACCTCATCAATTGAATCTACAATTGTATGATTAATTCCTAAATGACTTGCTTCAATTAATTGATTATATGGTTTGAAAGTTTGTGAATATGTAATATCTTCAGGATTAAATCCAAGGTCTAATACTTCTTTTATTTCATTCAATGAAGCACAATCAAAACCACATCCTAATTCACCTAAAAGCTTAACTAAATGAGGTTCAGGATTACATTTAACAGCAAAGCAAGGTCTAACTGTTGGCATATTCTTTTTCCATCTTTCAACTGCTTTTTCAACACCTTTAGTATCAAAAATCCAAAAACCAAGTGGTTGATTTTCTGGTTCAAATTGGCTGATAAGATTAAGAGCGAATTCTTTTACTTCTAGAGATGCTTGTTTCATTGTCCAATAATTTAATGATGTTTGTTAGTTGAAAAATTTCTTTAAATGTTTCTTTACATTCAAGAAAAAAGATGACAACAGATTATTTTAGTATCTTCGACTTGTCTATTCGCTTCCTTCATTTCACAAATTATCTTAATAGAACAAGATAGATTCTTCTTATTTCTTTTGCTATATTAATAAATTATTTTGTTTAATTATATTCTTTAAAAATAAATTAGACTTTGATTTCTTTTATATAATATTCTAAATTTTTATACTTTTGATATATATTACAGTATTTATTTTTATTTTCTTTATTTTGTTATTTATAAAAATAATGAACTTAGAATAAAGTTTATAATTTTTCATGGGAAATCAAGAAGCAAAACAACGTGTTGATAATATAGAACTTCCTCTCAAAGAGGGGGTTATTAGTACGATCATTGAAAATGAATTATTCCTCACTGGAAAGAAAGGTGCATTACTTAGTGATACATATGAATTGAACCATATTAAAGCCTTAGTGGTTGTATGTCCCGAACAATATGAATATCCAATTAATAAAGAAGAAGTAGAAATATTAAAATTACCAGTTATAGATTCATATAATTTTCCATTAATAAATTATTTAGAAAAGGCATATGAATTTATTGACTCACAAATAACACAACATCATCCAGTATTAGTTCATTGTGACTTTGGTATATCACGATCTGCTTCTGTGGTTATTGCTTATTTAATTAGAAAATATCAAATGTCTTTAAAAGCTGCTTTTCAATATGTCTCTGATAGAAGACATATTGTTTGTCCAAATCCCGCATTTATTATGCAATTGTATGAATGGCAAAGAAAATATCATTCATGTATTGGAAATGATGTTGATGCATTATATATTAAACAGTTACTTTCCGTGTCTTCAATATTATATAGAGACGTTCCTTCTAAATCATTATGGAATGCTTTTGTTGACTCAAAGTTTGATTTTGCTGATGCACTAAAGTCATTAAGAAAACAATTAGCATCAAGAGACTTATCAATGGAAATTTGAATATAATATAAGAGAAGGTAATATTAAATTTTTTATTAATTTTTTAAGTTTATAACTTCTTAAATAAAAATGAAGAAAAAAAAGAATGATTTAAGTTTTATTCATAATGACTAAATACATTTTGAATCTTCCAAATAAAATCAATAAAGGTTGTTGGTTGTGAGGATGAATTAATTGATGAAATAATTTTGATTCTCTTTAAGAATGGATTACTTTCAATACCATTGTGTAATTTTGAATTAATTCCTTTATACAATGCAATTATTGTCTCTCTTATATATGTTCCAAGATGATTAATAAAGCAAAAATTATTATTTTGAAGAGGTCCCCATCCTTTATATTTCTTTGAATATATTTGAATTTTATATATTCCTTTAAGATGTGGTTGAATAATAACAGCTATTTGACAATTACATTCTCCAAGAACATTAGGATCAAATTCTGTTTCTGTAAAGAATATATTTATAAGTTGGTTTAATATTAATTCTTTATCATTCTTATTTTGAATTGGTATTTTACTAATATCACTAATAACAACTTCTCTAATTGTATCACTATACTGAATAACATCACATTTATATTTTATTAATAATGGATTTTGTTTGCCAATAATTGTTTCTTCCCCTTTAACTTGCTTTCCAAGAGCATTTTTAACCTCTTCAAAAGCTTCTGTAGATTCTTCATTACAAATAATTTCTTCTTTAGTTTTTCTATTACCTACATTAAATAACCAAAACAAATATAATTCTTTTGAACATATAGCATCTAATTCATTAATTTTATTTTCTAAATCGTTTCCAATTATATTTATTTGTTTATAATTTGATTCTGATATATTGAATATAGACATTAATAACTTTATTATTTCTACTTGGTTTGTGTTTGTATTTACCTTTTTAATAACTTTAGAATATCTATCTGTTTTTTGTACTTTTTTGTGCTCTGTTAATGGTTGAAAAATTGATACTTCATGTATTTTACTGATTTTGTTTTCACTTTCTAAGAAGACTTTTTCTCTAATCCTTGACATTTCTTGAGATTCCTCACTTTTTATTCCTTTACACAATTCATTATATTCTTTTAGTATTGCATTCACACTTTCATCTAACCATTTTTCTTTATCATTTTCTATAGGAACATAAAATAATAAGTCATGTTGTTTTTCAGTATATAATACAGTTTCTTGAACACCTGATTTTGTTTGAGTTAAAATATTACTATCATAATTTAATCCATTAGTAGGTTCTTCAATTTCAAAAGTACATTTACCAAATACATCCCTCATTTCAATAATAATGTTACCTTTCTTTTCATCTTTTATCCATACACTAAACATTTTTCCTTCTTTCATAAAGTTAAGAGCGTTTTCTTTTGTTCTTTGTTTATATTTATCATTTTCTATTAATTTTCCATACCTTCTTAATGAGCTAATAAAGAGTTTTGATGCTTCTCCATCTCCATATAATTGTGTTATATTAACTCTTGTTTCATTTAATTCTTCTAAATAATTGAATAATTTTTTCAAAGTTGTATTATCCATATTTTGAAATATAGATGATGAAGTAAATCCAATTACCATTAAAGACATAATAATTCTTTGTTTATTTTCAATTAAGGTTGTTTTAATAGATTCTTCTAATGATAAATTGAATATTTCATTAAGTAAATCATTAGGAATAGTTCTAGCATTTCTTCCAATAAAATCAAGTGTAAGTCCAAAATTAAAACATATCTCTTTTCTATTCTTTGATTTTTCTGCTAAAGCACATTCTCCAAGAATAATATTAAATAATAATAATGCTTGGTCTTTTAAAATTTTAATTTCTTTTTCAATTTTTTGGTCTTTTTGATGTTGTAATTGATTTATAGTTTGAGATATTTGAACAAATAATCGAGCTGCTATCCATACAGCAGTAACATGAGAAGACCTAGTTAATACAACATGTGTGGCATATAATATTACATTAGCCATTTGTTGGTAATATTCAATTTGTCCGTTAGAATATTCAGGAATAATTAATTGTTCTAATTCTAAGAAAATATTTAGTAATGAAAGAAGTTTAATTGGAGCATTTGTAGTAGAATTAAACAACCGTTTATCAATTGGAACTAAATCATTTCCTAAATTTCCGTGTGGAAGATTTGATAAAAATAAATGTGTTTTTTGTGTTTTAGTGTAATTATAAAATTGTTGTATTTTATTTATAACTAAAGGTATTAATGGAAGATAATTTAAATGGAGTCTATAAAAAAGACAACAACATTTTTCTAGAGAAGGAAATAATAGTTCATCTGGAATCATAGAAAGAAGGTTTTTTAATATTGCAATAACTTCATTAGGACAACTAGAATTTTCATAAAGTTCAATTAATGAATGAATGTTCATTGTTTGTATATAATTATCTTGTAGTGATAATGAGTTAAAAATAATTGGCATGAACAATTCTGTGACATTAATTATTTTTTTGTTTGATATTTTTTCAGAATTATTAAGTATAATAATTGTTTGATTCACTAATAAATGAATATTTCTTCTTATAAGTATATTTAAATAATTTTCTTTAGAACAAATAAGTTTTGTAAATATTTTAAAAATAAAAATAATATCTTCATCTTGCCATTGGTCAAATCTTTTTATCATCTCTGTACAATATCTACATGTATAATAAGAATAATACCCTGTTTCAAATACTTTAAATTTTGTATCATTTTCTTTTGTAATATTATTAACTGTTTCATATTCTGGAGATATTAATGAAATAATTGCAGGAGTTGTTGTATTAGAAGTACAATATAACTTGTCAGTTATTGTTCTAACTAAATGTCCATATACTTTAGCCATAGCATTTAAAACACCTGGAATGCACCAATAATCTTGTAATAATTTTTTTAGTGACTGTGTATTATTCAACCATGCATCTTCATCTTTAGAATATAACTTCATCCACATAAATAAGGTGGAAAGAATAATATCAAATGTATCATTTTCCATTGACAATGAAAATGCACTTGATGCAAATCTTACTTTAGTATGTCTATCAACTTTTTGATTTTGAGCTCCATTTTTTAATAATGAAAGATAATTATCTACTACAATTAATGTTAATGGAATTACAGATGTTCTAGAATTAATATTTATAGACCATATACATGAAGACAAAAAAGCTAAGACATTCGATAAAAATTTTCTTGATTCTTCAAGATAATATTCTCGATAAATTATTAAAGACTTCAGCTCATCTAAATAGAATGTTTGTAAGGATTTTAACTCTTCTTTTGGTAATGAATTTGTCATTGTTTCTACATTAGGTCCAAAGAATATCATAAAATACCATTTTAGAGATGGTCGAACTTCTTCATCAAATTCATTTGGGCTCCATTTCATATTTAAAATACAATGAAAAATATCTTTAAAAACTTGAGAAAAATAAGGAGATAAGTACATAGTACAAAATCGTGTAGGATTAATCAAAAAGATTTTTAAGAATAATACTGTTATTTTCTTATTTGGCTCTGGTAAATATTTTAAGTAAAATGTTTTATCAATATAGGATTTGACATCTAAAATAATCATTGGAAATATCACACACAATACATTTCTTAACAAAACTAATAAACTGGAAAAGTCATTTTCTTTTTCAAAACTCTGAGACAAAATTTCTGTTAACATGTATGTAGCTTCTTCTAGTCGTCTACTTAAATCCTTGCTTTTGTTAAGAGAATTATCATATCTCAAATTAGTACTTTGAAGAATGTTAGTCTCATGAGAAGTAAATGCTGGAAAATCAATAATGGAAATGATTAATTGAACAAATCTAAGATCATTACATTTAACACTCTTCAAATAATCTAATGATAGTTGTAATGCCATTTTCCTCACTTCAAATTCCATAAACACACAAAGACAATCTTCAATAAATAATTGGAACGACTTATGTTGACTGAAATATTGTGAAGGAGAATAGGTTAATGTTTCATTATCATAAATTATTCCAATAAGAGTGAGTAGAGATAGTACATCCTGTACACGAATTTTGTTACTGTCATTACTTAAACATAATTGTAAGTATCCCTCAAGCTCAACAACTAGTGTCTGATATTTTTCTTGTTTAACAAGATTTTCTTTGAACTGGTCTGAGATTGTTGTTCTTTGGATAGTTTCTTTAAATGACTTAATCTTTGATTCAATTGTGCGTTCAGAAAGAAACGAATATGACCGATTTGTAAAAAGAAACATTAATTACTTAATTTTAAGTTTAATAACAATTTCACGTCAATTCATGATTGTTGTTCTACAGAAATAAGGAAAAACGAAAAAAAGAAAAGAAGGAAAAATAAAACATAAAGGAGTGTATCAGGTTGAGGTGAATAATAAGACATTATAATTAAGATAAAGTGATTGACGAGATATAATCACATCAAATTAATGACATGTCCTATTAATATGTTCAATGTTGTTTGTGT